AACAATGGACCTTGAGCCATTCTCTACTGCTCAGGCCTGCTTCTATCTCTTTGAAATGTATTTTTTTTTCTTCTAATAAACTGTCCTTTTCTGCAACTTTACTTCTCTGGTCCATGTCTTCATTCTTCGGTTCCACGAGACCATGATCCTGGTACACACACAATCACACACATCAAAAAATCCTGCTTCAGAGGCGGGCCAAGTGGCTCAGTTGGTTAAAAGTGCGAGCTCTGAGCAACAGGGCCGCAGGCTCCATTCCCACATGGGCCAGTGAGCTGCGCCTGAGCTGAGCTGTCAACAGGTGGCAGGATGGCTCAGCTGGTGAAAGCACGTGCTACTAATAACAAGGTTGTCAGTTTGACTCCTGCATGGGATGGTGAGCTATGCCCACCCACAACTAAGATTGAACACAGTACCTTGAGCTGAGTGTCCATGAGCTGCCAATGGGCAGCTGGATGGTGCCTGGACTTGGAGCTGAGCTTGCTGCACCCTCCACAACTAAGATCGGACAACTTGGCTGTTTCCCCTCACCAATTCCCCAGCACTGTTCCCCTTCCCCAATTCCCCAATAAAATCTTTAAAAAAAAATCTTGCATCAAAAAAAATTAAAATAAAATTAAAAATTAAAAAAGTAATCATTTTTTTGTCCATTGTACTCATTTTCTAACACACCACATATTCTGGTTTTGCTATGCTCCCTTTCCCTTCTAGAATGTAAGCTCCTTGAGGAAAGGGACTAACACACACACACACACACACACACACACACACACACACACACACACACACTGATGTATCTCAAATGCCAAGAACAGCACCTGGCAAACAGGTGCCCAACGCCTGCTGAACAGAATCACTACTCCTCTGCTTATAGTGCATCACTAGCTCCCCAATGCACTTGGAAAAAATCCAACAGTAGCATGGTCCACAGGCAGACGATTCTTCTCTGCTTACCTGTCTCCCACTCTCCTCAGTCTTTCTGTACACGGCTTGTCCCTGCCCTATGACTTTGCCATTCACTTTGATGGGTGTGATCTTAGACCTTCCTTCTGATCATTCCAATTTCAGCTTAGTGTCACCTTCTCAGAGAAACCCTCTCTGACCAACCATTACAAACACCAGTCACTATCCATCACAGTCCTATTTTAGTTCTTTGCATATGCAATTACTATTTTTTTATTTTCATTCATTGCCTGTCCCCCTCCACTCCATGAGTGCAGAAACTTTACCTTACCACTGCCGTGACCCAAACATTCTGGCACATCACAGGTACTCAGTAAATGATTTCAGGAGATATACAAATGCTGGAGACAAGGTTTGAGAGAACAGAGAAAATGAAGGAAAAATCATTAAGAAATAATTCAAGGGCCGGCCGAGTGGCGCGATGGTTAAGAACTCGCTTGGGATGCCAGAGGGCCCCGGTTCGGATCCCACATATGAGGGCCGGTGACACTGCCCTCTACAGCTAAGATGCTGAACAACAGCTCAACCTGGAGCTGGGCTGCCATGAGTCGCCGGCGACGGCGTGGGCTGCAGTCCCTGTGGCAGTGGATTGCCATGGGCTACCGTGTGTGGCCAGCAGCCAGCGTGAGCGGCCAGCAGCCGCAGTGAGCGGCCGTCCAGAAGCAGAAGCCGGCGACTGATCTGCCTTGCCAGAGAAGAGCGCAATGATGGTGCCAACTTGGGCCAGTGAAGCAACATCCTCCACAACTAGATTGAAGAACAAAAACGACAGCAACTTGTCTGTTCCCCTTTCCCCAATTCCCCAATAAAAATCTTAAAAAAAAAAAGAAATAATTCAATAGTCTCCAAGAACTGAGAGATTATGAATTTGTAGAATGACAGGGCCCATTGAAAAAAACTCATACAAACGCATATCAAGAAATTTAAGAGTAGAGACACAGATAAGGCCCTGTAAGTTTCCAGAAAGAAAACGCAGGCCACATACAAGAGTTGGCATCATGTGTCACAATTCTCGGCAGCAATAATGGAAGCTAGAAGACAGTGGAACAATGCCTTTGAAATTCAGAAGAAAAAATTATTTCCAACCAAGAATTCTACACTCAGTAAATCTATCAAGTATGAAAGTAGGAAAGGTATTTCCAGATATTTAAGATTTCAAAAATTCAACTTCCATGTACCATTTCTCAGAAAGCTACTGGATGATGCTTCACCAAAATGAAGTAAATTGAGAAGAGGGAAAACAGGATAAAGTAGAACCAAAGCAGGAGAGCGGAGATGACGGTACAGGACGAGCCATAGGCTGTGTACAGGAGAAGGGGCGACTGCTCAGCCTGCTCTGCAGACTTCAGGGGAGACACGGTAAGAAGCAAATTAACAGCAGCTGATAACTGCACATCTTGGGAGGTGTGACAACTGGTGAGGAGTTTGGTGTTCAATGAGTAATAAGCGCGCAGGAGACAAAGCAAAAGAGGGGAAAGACAATTACTGACTCCAGGGAACACAAAAAATTGTATAGGAGGGAAAAGTAGTTATGATTTACCACGTGCCCCTGGTGTGATTTTCACAGACATGGTAATAAGCACACTGAGCACTTACCTGATGCCAGGACCAGCATGGCAGGCATGGGGTTGTTGTGAAAGTGCGCGTATGTGGCGAGGGACAGGGACACACCTAGATCTTCCTTGTGTACAGGGGGAAATGGAGGGTGAAGCCCCAGACTCATGTTATTTAGTAAATGAAGGTCAATAGTCTGCTACATTGATGAACTGGGCCTCGAGGGAGAGAAATGGGACAGGGGACTGTTCTTTTCTTTCTTTTTTTTTTAAGCTGAGCCATCCTGCTACCTGTTGGCAGCTCAGCGGCTGCTCAGCTCGGGCTGGACTCGAACCGCTGTTGCTCAGAGCTCAAACTCTTGAGCGAGCTCTTAACTAACTGAGCCACTCGGCCGGCCCTGTTCTTTTCTTTTGTAATAGCATTGTAGATATATTTGACCTTATGTGCAGCTGTAATTCATAAAAAACAACTTTGAAAATATGAACATAAAAAATTAAAAGGTTCAAAGAATTTGTTGAATAAATCTTATTGGCAGCTTTCAGTACTAAGGTGGTAACAGAAAACATTTTTATTTTGCGAGGGTTTCTTATGCTGAATTATTTTCTACAATTTATTTTGGAAGTATGATGCTAATAAAACTTATTAAAGCAACAATTACCTGAAAGCATTAATATTTTGTTCAAATGGAAATATTCCCTATTTAATAACTTAGCTTTTAATTAAACAATGATCACATTTAAAGATTTCAGATATTTCTCATTATACAACAATCCTTTCCAAGAAAGGATAAAAGGTATTTTGAGAATTATGAAATTATTCCATAAATAAGATTAGTAGAGCATAATTTTAGAAAACAATTCATATTAACAAATGTAAACATTTAAGAATATGCTAGTAATTATTGTCTATCAGGAGTCAAATGTGGATTAATGACCTCATTATAACTGATAATGCATATGTTGCTTCTAATAACTGACACATATTTTGCATATATGTATTTAGAAAAGAAAAAGGGAAAACATAAACAAGTCAGAAATGAGTACAGGAAGGATATGCTCTTTCCCACAGTAAAATCTTAGAGGTATTTTGTGTAATTCTCCCTTTTCTACCTTTTCAATGAAAAGAAAAAATCAGAGGACAGACAAGAAATTGTCAGGTAGCTGGTGTTGGGAGGCAGAACTGAATCTCTGTAGGTTGTATTTCTTTAGGGCACTGCTTGTTTTCCAAGGAAGGACTCTGGGTGTGCTGTGCTGGGTGACACCCTTCTTCTGGGAGCGCCATCACATGCACCTCACGTGCTGGATATCAGCTCAGGCTCACAGCAGGGGAGGAACAGGTGGGCCTCAGCACTGGCGGGCTGTGTCCCATGGGGGGGGTGTCTCTTGGGGACTTTCACAAATAAGAGTATATGTGCCGAGGACAGAAAGCAAAGTTGTAGAGTTCTAAAGGACCCTGCCATCAATGGAACCTCTGTAGTAAGAGAGGTCTGGTGATATCTGAGTTACAGTAAAATATATAGAAATCCAGACTGTCCATTCAACAAAGTTTTATTGAGCACCTACTCTGCACCCAGCACTGCACTAAGTGCCATGGAAACTACAAGGAAAATGTAAGATACGGTATCCACCCTTAAGGAGCTTACAAAACTAGAGGCAGAAATCAGATGTGTGTGACTCAGGCAGCATATGATATATAGAGTGCAACTTCCACACGTGTAGCAGTGAAGAGACCAGTGAGACCCACGAGACTGGAAACACTAGAGCAGGGAAGGAGGTACAATTAGATAAGCAGGGGACTGACAGAGGCCTGGGATGGGTAAGGACTAGGGCTGCCAGGTAATCTGGCTGGAGCAGGCGCTTGTATTAGTTAACCTGTGGACACCAGGGGGCCTGGGCACAGGCTGGGACTCAGGCCAGGCCAGCCGGCAGAGGATATGCCCATTTTTCCCTTGACGTGAAGACCCGGTGGGGCTGGGTGTAGACTGCTGCCTTTCTTTCCTCTTCCCACACCCGTCTCACCACCCCAGCCCCTCCTAGGAAAATGGAACCCGCACATCGACAAGGTCAGTGTCAGCTTTCCATCCTGCTGGAGAAACCGATCCATTTCCAGGCGGGGAGGTTTGGCTCAACTGGATATTCGCCCTGGTAATGTTATTTTATTTTTATTTATTATTATTTCTTAAAGATTTTTATTGGGGAGTTGGGGGGATGGGAACAGCGGTGGGGAATTGGGGGAAGGGGAACAGACAAGTTGCTGTCCTTTTGTTCTTCAGTCTACTTGTGGAGGACGTTGCTTCACTGGCCCAAGTTGGTATTATCATTGCGCTCTTCCCGGGCGAGGCACATCAGTCGCCGGCTTCTGGATGGCCGCTCACGCTGGCAGCTTGCTACACACGGTAACCCATGGCAACCCACTGCAGCCCAGCTCCAGGTTGAGCTGTTGTTCAGCATCTTAGCTGTAGAGGGCAGTGTCACTGGCCCTCATATGTGGGATCTGAACCAGGGCCCTCTGGCATCCCAAGCCAGCTCTTAACCAATGCGCCACTCGGCTGGCCCTCGCCCTGGTGATTTTAGATGGACTGATAAGAGCAGGGTGTTCTGGATTCTTTAAAATAGTCTCCTCAAAAGGATCAACTCACAGAGATAAGTTATTGACCACTGATCACAAGTGTACCCCAAAGCTGCAGGTATGGAGATCACTTCCCCAAGACCACAGATGGCTCTGGAGCCCCGCCTCCTGGTAATGGAAACCTCACGCAGTGCCCTGCTCTCAGCGGAGCAGGAGTCTGCTCTGGACACATGAGGCCGCTGGAACCCAGGGGCCTGACTTAAATGGCCAGGGAAGCCTCTGGATTTCCATTCAGCTCATTTTCAGGTATGTTTAACTCCAAGTGGGGTGGCAGTAGGTGTGTTTAAAGTGCCAGGAAGGCAGGCAGCACAGTGGTTTAGGCTGTGGGATTTGGGGACAGTAGAACGTCCGGGGTGTAACAGTGAACTGATCTTTCCCAGGACCACGAAGCATGGGATGCCACACCCGGAAAGAGAATGACTTGGTTCTTACTTCACAAAGCAAGCACGGGGCTGGGTCTGAGGCAGTGGGCAGAGGGAGGGAGGAGCCCATGGACTTCAGGGTCAGAGGTTTGCACAGGAACCCCGAGGAAGTGGGAGAAGAGCTGCCACTGCCATGTGGATGGAGTGACAGCACTGAGGGAGCTCTCGAGGGGTCCGGTAGTTGGGAGGGGAGTTGTGGATGCAGGGTCCCTTCTGTGCCCTGCTCCAGGCATCTCCTTCCCCTTTCAGTCCTGGAATTCCAGAGAAGTGAGGCACCAGCAGGGCGGGACTCAGGGTCTCAGCAGGAGGCGTGTTCTGGGCCACTTGAGCCACAAGAAGGGGACCAGGCGCCTGGTGAAAGTGGCAGTGAAAGTGTAGATGAGCTCTTGCGACTCCGCGTTGGTGAAAGTCACGGTGCCCCCTTCGTAGTCCAGGGCGATGCCGACCCGCCGGGGCAGCAGCGCCGGGAAGAGTTCGACCTCGGGCTCAGTGTGGGCCCAGACGCCTGTGGATGACAGGCGTAGCGCCCACACGCCGTCCTCCGGCCGCAGCGAGAGTTCTCCCTTCCGCTTCACAGAGTTTCTGGCCACCCCCACCATGCAGCTTTCCAGAACTTCCTCCTCCTCCTCCTCCTCTTCCCTCTCTTCCTCCTCCTCTTCCTCCTCCTCATCCCCCAATGACTCCTCGTCCTCCTCCTCTTCCTCCTGCTCCTCTTCCTCCTCGTCCCCCTCCTCTTCATCCTTGGCCCAGCTCTCCCTCCTCTGCACCTCCACCTCCCAGTACACCTTGCCCCAGATGAAGCTCCTACTGCCCAGCACCCCCGGCTCACAGTCAAACTGCTGGGGGTGCAGGTATGCACTCTGGTACAGGCCACTGTAGGTCACACATTTGCAGTTCTCCGACAGCTGCAGGTATCCACTGGCCGACTGCAGGTCCAGGGTGACACTCACTGTGGGGACAAAAGAAGTAACAGTGTCACCGGTGGACCCGGGGTCACCAGCCTCTGTGGTGTCTATGGCAGGGCTGCCACACCACACAGTCCCAGGGGTGCCATTCACATCTTGGTCCATGAGTACCAGGCCCACCAGAGGGATGCAGGAGTTCGAAATGAGCAGAGGTGGCCTCTGAACACAGGAGGCATGTGATCAGGTAGGTGACAAGAAACTCAGTTACAGGGAAGGGACTGGTGGCAGGACCTGTGAGTATGGAATGACCAAACACAGGGCAGAGAAAGGCCAGGCTATCATGCGGAGGCCTCTACGGCACACTGAGGAGTAGGAGACTGGTCAGAAAATGCAAGAGGGATGGGGGGACTGGGACGGGGGTGACAGGGGGTGGGGCTTAAGATCTGCAGCTGGGAAACTCTCCCTGTGGCCTTAGAGAAGGAATCCACTGGGGGCTCCTGGGGCAATCATAGTCTCTGTGAAGACAGTACTGTTTATTTGAGGTAAGTCTGGGATAAGCCTTTGGACACTCACCCATCTTATATTCCAAGTCTCTCAGCAGCTTCCCTAGGGAGGAAAAAAGGACAGCAATGAACCTTAAGCCCAGCAAACTTATGGGCTCATTTCTTACTCAGTATCAATTGTATCAATTTCGTGACAGGATGCCATCCCTGAGATCCCAAGAAGAAAAGAGAAACAACGAAGAGAACCAGCGGACTGAGGTAGGAGAACCTGACCGAAAGGAGCCGGGTCCCTCCCTCACAGCACCACCCCAGCTCCTGCCTCCCACTCCAAGGCTACCCCAACCCTGACCTTGCAATTCTCGCAGGCCTCGCTGCAGGGACAGCAGTTTATCTGAGAATTCTTCTGTCCTTCTTTTAACCATTTGAGCAATGGGTTTCTCAATCCGGAAATTCTTCCGTGGGTACCTGAGAAGATGACAGCCATGACCTTAGCTCTCCTTACATTGCTCTCAATCCTCAGGACAATTATGAAGGGGGAGGGAAAGGTGTGATTATCCCCCATCAACAGATAGAAAAACAGGGGCCAAAGTCACTAAGTGACCTGCCCAGCCTGAGGCAGGACTTGGACCCACAAGCAGACCAGCATGCAGAGCACTTCAGGCGAAGCCACCTGTCCCTCCCAGACAAGGGCAGGCGGCCAAGGAGCTGGGACTCCACAGAGAACTTGCTCTGGTGGACAGCAAGCCACCAGTTCACAGATGTGTCCTACTTCCCAGGATGGAAGGTCATAGGAGGAACCATGGGACGCGGGCAGCTCTGGCACCCTATCACTCCCCATTAATTCAAATGGGTCATGGTCAAGAAGAAGGGGAGGGGACACAGGCACAGGGGATGAGGCACACTGTGACAAGGAAGCTCTTACCTGTTTAAGAAGTCTCTGGAGTCCTGGAAGAGGAGAAAGCATAAGCATCAATGTGAATCAAAGACTTCACTCATATGTACCAGTACCGCATCAGAGAGGGGATGTATCACAAACAAAACAAACGTGGTCCCTTCCTCATGGAGCTGACATGTGGCAGCATTGGGTAAAACAACACGGAAACAAAATAATCAACGACAGAGCAGTGGCGGGGCAGGAGATGACAGGGCCAGCTTCTCTGAGGTGACAACACTTGTGCTGAGATGGAAGGACGCGCTGGCCAGGTGAAGAATGGGAAGGAGGCAAGATGGAACAGGACTCAGCAATGGAGGCCGGGGTCAGATCCTGCAGGGCTGATCAGGCATAGCAAGTTGTCTACATTTCGTTTATGTACAGTAGTAAACCACCTAAGGGTTTCAAGTAGGGGAGTGACATGTGATCTGCTTTCATGTGGCTGTGACTGCTGGGTAGCTTCCAGGATCCTTCTCCCCATCCTCCTTTTAATAATGGAACTCCTGGAGTAACAGCTGGGCAGACGGCCACTCAGCCAAAACTACGTTTCCCAGATTCCCTGTAACCAGGTCTGGTCATGAGACTAAGCTCCAGCCAATGGGATGTAAAAGGAAGCAATAACTACAATTTTGGGGTCAAGTTCTTTAAAAAAAGGAAATTGCTTTCTATTTTCTCGTCATCCTGGGCTAAATTTTGGATATAGTGGTAGTGAGCCCACCTTCAACCACACAGCTGAGGACAGCATCCTGTGAAGTCTGAGGAACAGCCAGGTGGAAGGAACCCAGCTCTCTGGGGGACCTCACGGACAGCTGCCCTGGCAGCTCTAGACCTACCAACTCGAAATTGTTACCGAGAGAAACAACATTCTGTTTTATCTGAGTCATTGTACTTGAGTCTGATACAGCAACTGGCCAAAATCCAAAGCGATCAACCATCTGTCCATCTAGAGCAGCGGTTCTCAACCTTCCTAATGCCGCGACCCCTTAATACAGTTCCTCATGTTGTGGTGACCCCCAACCATAAAATGATTTTCGTTGCTCCTCTATAACTGTAATTTTGCTACTGTTATGAATTGTAATGTAAATATCTTTTTGTTTTCCAATGGTCTTAGGCGACCCCTGTGGAAGGGTCGTTCGACCCCCAAAGGGGTCGTGACCCACAGGTTGAGAACCGCTGGTCTAGAGCATAGATTAAGGAAGGTGGCATGAACATGGCGGGGGGCGGGGGGCGGTGCGGGGGCCCAGTATAGAGGCTGTTGCTGTGGACCAGGTAAGATAAAATGGCCTGAAGCAGCAGTGGCAGTTGACAAGACCCAGGTGTGTTTGCGAAAGACTGGACTGGACACAGTGCTGAAGGATGATCAAGGGCAGGCCATGGCTTGAGTGGGAGGGAGAACGGTGGTGCCACGTGCGTGACGGAGACAGGGCGGACTGGGGAGGGCGTCCTTGTGAGATGCTGGTTATTGCCCTTTTGTGAGTCTAAAGCCTTCGTGATACTCTATATTAATTTCTGCCTTCCTCTCACTCATTCACAGGTATTGACCAAGTGCCAGGCACTGTTCTACAAGCCTGGGATACAGCAGTAAAAAAAAAAAAAAAGATACAAATCCTGACCCTTGTTAGAGCTGACCTTCTAACAGGGGAAAGCAGACAGCAATCAATCAATATAACGAACACATTATATTACCTTCTTAGTGATCAGTGTTATGGGGAAGAGAGTTAAGGGGGACTGGGAAGGGGTGGAGAAGCAGGTTTGGGAAACAAATGGAATCACCGAATCATGGCTGCTGATGACTGTGTCAGTCTCTGGAAGAACGCCGGGTTCTGCTCCAGGGAAGGACAGCAGGAGGTCAGAGCCACACAGTAGGGCAGTTGCCCTACTATGAAGCAACTGTCCAGACACAGTTGAGTTTCTGGCAAATCCTTCTTATCTGTCCCTCAAAACAAGTAAGTTCAAGCCAGCTTGAGGACTGGGTGACAAATCTGAAGCAGTGTGTGCCAACAAGCCTGCTGAGATATGTGGTGTAAAAGGGCAAATAAATGGGTGGGGTGGAGGTCAGGGGGCCAAGAGTGACATGGGAGTTGCTAGAACGGTAGAGGATGAGAGCCGTCTAAGGGATAAAGGATCTAAAGGATCAAGTTGTGAGCAGCCCAGAGAGGGCAGGACCCGGAGAACAGGGCAGGAACGCTTCTCCCAAAGGACACAGAGTGGGGAGCATGGGGAGTCCCAGGCAACCTGCAGCCACATCCAGCCCACCCAGGCTCCTCCTGAGGCTGCTGTGAAACAGGCAAGCAGAGCGGAGGCTAGGGCAACAACTCATGGCCCTCTCGGCATGGGGCACGTCTGGGTACTAACAGCACTCACGGGTAAGGACGGCGACCCACAGTGGGAGAGGCACCCCAGCTTGCAAGGACCACCCAGGGCTGAACTGGGGACAGTGTCAGTGTCTCTTCGGCTGCTGCTATCTTCTTGTCTCCGTAACATCTTCATGATGTTCCCAGTACAAAGATCTTTCTCTCCTTTTCTATCCCTTTTGTCAAAAAGTCTGTGTTTTACATCTTTTCTCCTGCTGCTTCTTCCTCTCACCTACAAGTATATTTCTCTATTAGCAGACTTTTGGATCAGAACCTCTATCTTAATAGGATCTCATTCTTATTGTCCACTGACAGTCAAATAACGCCTGGGAAAATATTAATAGTAATTAAGGAGTTAGTGGTCCTTGCTGTAAGTGGTCCTTGCAGCAAAATCAAAGCCAAACAAACATGGACAAAACCCCCAGTGCCAACATTTCAGGTACTGGCTTTAAGCGAACCCCCAAAGGGATGTCTTCAATCAGAGTGGTCTTGGAGGCACAGAAGGCTGGGCCTCTGCTGCCCATGCAGCTCCTTTGCGTGGACCTGTGAGAGGCTCAGGGCAGACGCAAGTGCAATGCAGTCCCCCAGCACCCATCATGTCTGCTCCATGCACGGGGGCACATTTCACCTGGTGGCGGCTGCTGGGAAAAGGATGCTCGTCCCCAAAGGGGACAGAGAAGAGGAAGAGGGGGGAGGAGACAGGCAGCAAGTGACGCAGTCAGAGCCTGAGAGAGAAACTGGAGGGAACAGAATGACATCTGGAGGAAAGGACGGAGCCAGAGACAGACTGGGTAAGATGGGAGAGAAGGAGACCCAGCACAGAGGCCTGGGAGTGAGGGCGCCGGCTGAGCTTTTACTCGATTCCTGACCTGCCCCATGGCCTGGGACAGACCCCTTCACTCTCTGGCCCTCAGTGGTCTCACCAGGGCTGGACTGAAGAATTCTAATCTCCCTGCCAGGCCTGAGTCTGAACCCACAATGAGGGGAGGCAGGCCGCGGCCACTGGTGCTGGCACAGGCACCGGGAGCCCCAGCCTTGCCCTCCCTCTCCCTGTCACTGGCCTAGGATGGCTTTTTCAGCTGCTGACACGCAGGCCCAGCCACCCCAAGCCATGCAAGTGGAGGTCATCATACAGGCCTTCTTCTGGGCCACAGGGCAGAAGGATGAAGCAGGCCACCCCAAAAGCCTGCTGAGCCTGTTCGGCATGGCGTGACTCCTCTGGGATGCTCTGGGACAGAGGCGCTGTGGGGCCATTTCAACTTGGTAACCTGTTCTCCAGTCCAACGCTTCCCTTTCTCAGCATCAGTCGCCTCCACCAGGAAGCATTCCAGGGGCAACTTGCCTGTTTTCCATCTTTTCTCCTGAGGGTAATTCCAGAGTCCCAGGGAAAACCTCTCCCACTCTGTCCCCCGTCACCAGGCACCTGTCTGCTCCAGACCCTCTGGGTTCCTGAGAGAAGTTGCCGTTCAGACCTTCTTAGCCACCCCCGACCACTACAGCTTCTGCACCTTCAGAATCATAAAAAGCTTCCACCGGACAAGTGTCTGCCAGTGACTTGTTAGCAGACAGGCTCATGAGGACAGTGACGAGGACGAAAGAGAGTAATGAAAATACTAATAACCTTCCCTTCCATTTCTACAGCACTTTTTAATATTATTAACTTCTTTTTGTAGAAAAGTTACTTTTTGAAATGACACCATGCCAGTCATCTCATCTTATGCTCATGCAACCACTGGAAGAAATGGGGCAGAGCAGGATCATCACCCCATGTTTCAGATGAGAAAACTGAAGCCCCTGGAGGAAGTGACACTCCCAAGGTCATGCAAGTGAGTGGCGGGGCCTGGACCCACTGTCCTGGTATCCCAGCTCCCGGCCCCGCGGAAGGTCTCACCTGCAGGAGCTCTGCAGCTGGCTGCTGGGCCTTGCCCTCCAGCTCGGAGATGACCAGTGCCAGCCGTGCAAGCTCCTCGACGCCCCTGGTCTTGTACTTCTCCCTGCCTTCCGTGAGCATCTGCTCCAGCCTCGCCAGCTGGTCTAGCAGGTGCTGCTCCCGCTCCCTCAGGAACTGGTGGCCCTGTTCAAACTCTGCCACGATGCACTGCCTCTGGTCCTGGAGCTTCCTCTGCAGGGGTGGGTGGAGGGGAGAAGGGGGTGACACCTCCACCTGGGCACGGAAATCCCTCCAGGATTGCGTGTTACAGGCGCATGAGGCTGGGTCTTCTACCCTAGCTCCCCCCACTCATGAGACCTACAGTGCTCAGGTTGGGGAGGGGCCTTGGGGCATTCCTGGGCCAACCTCCTTTCCTCAAGGAAGACACAGTAAGTGAATCAGTTCCGTTCACTCAGCCACCACGAGACTGAAACCCCGACTGCCTGACTGGTCAGCCCATTACCTGTTCTAGGTAAACCAGTATGTTTTGGGGCCTTCTGAGAAACTCTGCGAGTTGCGAGCCAATACGTTTTTCTGTTCTGGACACTAATGTCTGTATGTCACCCTTCTAGGAAGCTTTCCTTGATTAATCTCACCCAAGTCTGACCAATCCTCTCTTCAGCACTCCCTATTACAGATAAAATGTCTGTGTGTACTCCATCTCTGCCACATAAGACTGTATCCTGTTCCCTCATTGAAACTGTGGAATGTCTGTGCTCAGGAACCACGACCTTTCCTGCCCCCGATTTTCACTGCTGAGTCCAGGTTGGGATCTGGTCAGCGTCTTTGGTTCCCTGGTTGACTGATGGGCTGGCAGCGTCCATGCACACTGAGGGCCTGGAGACACTCCTTAAACTTGAGCTGTCTTCTGCTCCCAGGGCCCAGTCGCTCACTGCCGGGCCTGGCCCAAACATCCCTCCAATGCCCACTTCCCCCAAAAAACTGGACCTGCTTATCAGTTTTCCCCTCCTGATACAATTTCTAATCAAGCACACATGTGCTGCCTCTGTTTTCCAACCACCGGCAACCGTGGGTGTGGGATCCAGCAGACACGGAGCCATCAGGGCCGGTCAGGCCTTCCTCAGCCCTCCTCTCTCGGTCCCTATCCTGGAGCCAGTGCCGTCCTTCCTGGCTCCTCACTCTCAGGAATCACGTCTCTCCCCATCTGTGAAGGGAAGAACGGAGCCAGGCCCTTCTTGGTTCCCTACGCTCTGGCTCTGCCTAACACAACAGCAACAGCTTCCAGGGTGGCCCCGCAGAGAAGGGACCTTAGCTGACAGCAGGCAGCGCAGTCACGTGTCAGATGAGGAAACAAAGTCACAGAGCTCAGACTGACAGGGCGTGGCCTGCCACCCTGGTCTCCCGCTGCCAGTCCTGGTGACCGCTCGCCTCCCCACTACACGCCTCATGAGCTCAGGAGCTCCTGCTCCAGACCACCAGTCCTCAGGCTGCCCCTTAACAGCCTCACTTACCAGCACAGCCTGGACGTCAGCTTCTCCCTTCGCCTGACAGTCCTGAATTTTGTCTCTGTCTCTCCTTAGAGTACTCAGGTGGTTCAAAATTTTTTCCTGCAGAAAGACAAACAGTGGGGACAGATGGATACTCTGTGCTGGGGCAGGAGGGTGGACGCAGGCCAGCAAGAAGCCTTCGGCAGCGTCGTGGCCAGGCCGCGGCCTCAAGGTGGGTGCAGAGCGCATCCGGAGGGGTGGCGAGGTGGGCTTACCCTGTGGGGCTGGACCGCCTTCTCCAGCAGAATGGCCACGTGGGACCTGTGCTCCCAGGACTCCCGGCACATGACACACAGCAGTTTCCCATCGTCCTTGCAATAATAGTACAGCTTCTCCTGGTGCCGCTCGCACAACTTCGCATGCGGCTGCTCCCGGGCCACTTCTCCCGGCTGTCTGCCCTGGTCCACCTTCAGCCGCTCGATGTTCTCCACCAGGCTGGCCAGCTGCCACACGGGTCGGATGTTCTCCTTCTTAAAAGGCTTCTTGCAGAGGGGGCAGACAGGGCAGCTCCCCGAGACAGGGCGGATGTCAGTGGTACAGCTGCGGCAGAACACGTGGCCACAGTCAATGGTCACAGGGTCCCGCAGGTAATCGAGGCAGATGGAGCAGGTCACCTCTTCCTCCAGGCTCCGCAGTGGTACTGACGCGGCCATGGTGTCCTTTGTCCTTAGTTCAGAGGGGTCTCTGTTCACTGGTCGGGGCTTCTTATTCTTGGAGACCAGACATGGAGTCAAGAGCAGACAGGGCAGAGACGGCAGCCTCACACAGGGCTGCCAGCTCTAGCAATCAACAGACACTTATCAGCTCTTACAAGGCTCAATAGTATCAGAGCCAAAGGACCTTACTGATTGTCTAGTCTAACCTCATTTTGCAGATGAGGAAACTGAGGCCCAGACTGGTGGCCTGGTGGAGCGCCCGTGCTGTGCTGTTGGGAAAGCACGCCCGCCTCAAGACTTTCCTTCCGTCAGCTGGGAAATGGCTCTGATGTACCAGCCATGACAGGACAGACACCTGGTAATGCTCTGCTGGAAAACTGTCATAATAAATACACAAATCTACGCTGTCTACTATGTACACAGCGCTCGAGTGTGCAGGGCACAAGCTGCACGACTACGCATGGGCCTCACAGGGCCAGGAGATTCCTGTTTGCTCCTCCAGGCTTCAGGTTTCAAGGACTAAGAGCACCAAGGTTCTTTACTAAGATTCAAGAACCATCAAGTGTCTGAATCCTGGTGCCTCCCTTCATCGCTGTCCTTGGGCTATGCTGTGGTTTTGGTTTGGTTCACAATCCTCTAGGCAACCCAGCCTGCTGGCAGAGCACAACCTGGCCCCACCGGACCCATTCTCAGCAGTGACTCCTCTACGAGTATGCAGCTGGTCTGGCTGTCCTGGCGGGGCTCACTAAGGGAACCGCTGTGGAGGACTCCTCACCTGGCTGTGACTGCAATGTGCTGACGAGGGCCTAGGCCCCAGAGGGAGCACAGAGAGGACTCGAATCCCATTTACCTTTGCCACCCCGGCCCACTTCCTGTCTGAGGTAAGGAGCCTCAGCAGGCACAACCCAACAGCTGCGGCCTGCCACTGACTCTGTGACTCATTTAAGGGCTCTGAGTTTCAGTTTATCCATCCATAAAATGGGGAGAGTGATACTTACCTTCAAGGTTTCTAAGTGGGTTGAGTGAAAGAATTATGTTTAAAGTACTGAGCACAAGCATGGTACACACAAAGAAACTTAGGCGAGAACCCAGAACCTTTGGTTCCCGAATCCAGGCAGTGTTCAAAGCAGAAATGGAAAGTGGCAGCCAGAGGAAGTGAGGAAGAACTAGCCACAGCTACACAGGCTCCAGAGTTAGAGAAACAAGATCCTCGAGGGGCGGGACTGGGGAATTTGCTCTGCTGTAGATCAAGGAGGCAGCAAGAGCAGTTGCCGGGAAGACAGGGCACACAGATGACTGCCAGCAGGAACGCAGCACTTGGAACCACAGGAAATCAACATTGTCACAGTTATGTCCGGTGAAAGTCCATTACAACAGAGTTCAGTGGCCTTTGTGTTCTTTCACTGGAGTGACAGGGATGGGCTAGAATGAACCCCCCCCCCCCCCCCCCCCCCCCCCCCCCCGCTCTAGGAGCCAAAGGGGAAATAAAACAGGAATATAATGCCTACTTCTTGAGGATCTAATGAAGTAATATATGAGAAGTGCTGTATAAAGTGAAAGTACTGTATAAATGTAAGGGATTGTCACACTGCCAACAAAAAATTCCATTGGAAGTTCCAACGAATTTAGAGATGGTGTGTCTTTAAGAAATGTAATGAGTGTGAAAAACATGTACATATAAAGTTCAAACTAAGGGGCTATGTAATTTAACTGGCAAACGAGTTAAAGTTTTTAGAATGATACTAAGGGTAGTAAAAATCTTAGGAATTGCCTGGTCCTGCTCTCTGGTTTGCTGAGGGAATAAGCCCGCCCCGCGTTTCAGTTGTACAGGCGCAAAGGGTTGGAAAGAGGAAAGGAGCAGGTGCCGGGGACTCCTGGGGGCTTGGAGTCCTTCACCAAGTTATTTTGTTGAGCAGATTAGAAGTTTAAAAGCTGAGGTTATTTGTTTCCTTCGTTGTTGTTGGGGGTGGCGCATGCTATATGTGGGGCTGGGAATTTCATTCTGTTGCAATCTCCTGGAAGAATAAAAGGACTATGAAGAGCTCAGCTATAGCTTCCTGTCCACACAAAACCTGACACAATCAGGCGCCTTCTTCACTCAGAGCAGGTGTTCTTAACCCAGGATCCACCTTGGGTTTTGATGGATCTTTAAACCCCTGAAACTATGAAAATGATCATATATGTATTAGATGAATAAAATTGTCTGGGGATTACAGAAGAACACTGATGAATAAGTGTAGGAGGGATAATAAATCAGAAAAACACTGTCCATATATATGTGTGTGTGTGTGTATATATATATATATATATATATATATATATATA